AAACTAACACCATTTCCCCTAAGAACAGGAACAAGACAGGGATGCCCACTCTCACCACTCCTGTTCGACAGAGTACTGGAAGTATTAACCATTGCAGTTAGACAAGAAGAAGAAATAAAAGGCATCCAAATTGGAAAATAAGAAGTAAAACTGTCCTTATTTGCAGATGACATATTATACATAAAAGACTCCATAAAAAAAACTATTAGACTTAATAAATGAATTTGGCAATGTAGCAGAATACAAAATTAACCCCAAGAAATCCATGCCATTTCTATACACCAATAGTGAACTTACAGAAAGAGGGACTAAAAAAACAATGCCATTTACCATCGCATCAAAAAAATTAAGATACCTAGGAATAAACTTAACTAAAGAGGTAAAAGACCTCGACTCAGAAAACTACAGGACGTTGAAAAAAGAGATAGAGGAAGACATAAACAGATGGAAGAACGTACCATGTTCTTGGACTGGTAGAATCAACATCATTAAAATGTCCATACTACCCAAAGCAATCTATAAATTCAACGCACTTCCCATTAAAATACCAACGGCATATTTCACAGACCTAGAACGAACTCCCCAAAAATTCATCTGGAATATAAAAAGACCCCGAATAGCTGCAGCGATCCTGAGAAAGAACAAAGTAGGTGGGATCTCAATACCAGATATCAAGCTGTATTACAAAGCCACTGTTCTCAAAACTGCCTGGTACTGGCACAAGAACAGACATGTAGATCAATGGAATAGAATAGAGAGCCCAGAAATCGGCCCGAACCAATATGCTCAATTAATATTTGACATAGGAGGTAAGAACATACAATGGAGTCAAGATAGTCTCTTCAATAAATGGTGTTGGGAAAATTGGACAGATACATGCAAAAAAATGAAACTAGACCACCAACTTACACCATACACAAAAATAAACTCAAAATGGATAAAGGACTTAAATGTACGACGGGAAACCATAAAAATACTAGAAGAATCCAAAGGCAACAAAATCTTAGACATATGCCGAAGCAATTTCTTCACCGATACAGCTCCTAGGACATTGGAAACTAAAGAGAAAATAAACAAATGGGACTGTATCAAAATAAAAAGCTTCTGCACAGCAAAAGAAACCATCAACAAAACAACAAGAAAGCCCACTGCAGGGGAGAACATATTTGCCAATGTTATCACAAATAAGGGTTTAATCTCCAAAATTTATAGGGAACTCATACAACTTAACAAAAGGAAGATAAACAATCCAATCAAAAAATGGGCAAAGGACCTAAATAGACACTTTTCAAAAGAGGACATTCAGAAAGCCAAGAGACATATGAAAACATGCTCAAAGTCACTAATCATCCGAGTGATGCAAATCAAAACAACAATAAGGTACCATCTCACACCTGTCAGAATGGCTATCATCAACAAATCCACAAATGACAAGTGCTGGAGAGGATGTGGAGAAAAAGGAACACTCGTGCACTGCTGGTGGGAATGCAGACTGGTGCAGCCACTATGGAAGACAGTATGGAGTTTCCTCAAAAAACTAAAAATGGAACTCCTATTTGACCCCGTGATCCCACTTCTAGGGCTATATCCCAAGAAAACAGAAACACCAATCAGAAAGGATATATGCACCCATATGTTCATAGCAGCACAATTCACCATAGCTAAGATCTGGAAACAGCCTAAGTGCCCATCAGTAGATGAATGGATTAGAAAACTGTGGTACATCTACACGATGGAATACTATGCTGCTGTAAAAAAGAAGGAATTCTTACCATTTGCAACAGCATGGACGGAACTGGAGAGCATTATGCTAATGAAATAAGCCAGTAGATGAAGGAAAAATACCACATGATCTCACTCATTTATGGATAATAAAGACCATTATAAACTTATGAACAAAAATAGATACAGAGGCAGAGCAACCTGGAACAGACTGTCAAAGTACAGTGGGAAGGCCGGGGAGGGTTGGGGGCAGGGAAAAAAGGAGACATATGTAATACTCTTTGTAATACGTTAAGCAATAAAACAATTTAAAAAAATAAAAAGAGACTTAAGAAACTTAAAAACACATATGAAATACCTGGACCTTATTTTGATCTTCATTTGGCCAAACCAATTTAAAAACAAAAAAGTTGGAGGGTAATTAGGAAAATTTTAATATAAACTGGGAATGAAATGATATTAAAGGATTAGTGAAACTTTTGTTAGCTACGATAATGGCATTGTGGTTTTGTAGGTAAATGTCCCCGAGGAGAGTGGGGATTCATACTACAGTATACAAGGCAGAAATGTCATGCTGCTTGAGATTCACAACATGGGATCAGAAAAACACAAACAACCTCAAAAAATACCAATGAAGCAAGGTTGGAAAAATATTAATAACTTAAATCTAGATGATAGGTAGATGGGGATGACTATCTTCTCCACTTTTAGCATGTTTGAAATTTATCATAATAAAAAGTAAAATAAATTACCCGAGCAATTTATTAGGTCTTGCAATGTATTAGCGCTTTCAAATTTCCAACATATAATTCTTAATTTGTATAACCCATTTCAAAGTACACACATGTACACATGGATTCATATGATTCTGTATAACATTAAAACCAAAGCCTGACCAATAATTAGCATTTTTAAAAATTATAGATCAATTCCACCTAAGACTATAGTCAAAAATTTTTCTAATGAGTTACTAATAAATCAAATTTTACAGTACATTAAAATACCCAGAGAAGCAACCTAAAGAATAAAGATTTCTAACATATACAACTTTATATATATTTCTAATTTTGTAATATGTACTCATCTAAGCTAAGGAGAAAAAAAAACCCAAAGGAAATATATCAACATATTAACATGATTATCTCTACAATGGAATTACAATAGTTCTTACTTATTATTTACTATTTTTTATAATATGCATTTCACTTACATTAAAAAAATAGAAAAGCTATGTGTTTAAAATTTTCAAATTTACTATTAAAATCATTTTCTATATGGAATATAGTCAGTTGCTTATTTGTAGTGGTCACCATTATCTTTGTTAAACTTTTTTTTTCCTTTTTAATTCTCACTGGCGTATATGTCTTTATGGATTTTTAGAGAGAGAGAACGGAAGAGAGAGGGGAAGGGAGAGTGGGGATTGAGGAGAGTGGGGACTCATACTAAAGTATACAAGGCAAAGAGAGAGAGAGAGAGAGAGAGAGAGAGAGAGAGAGAGAGAGGGAGAGAGAGAGAAACATTGACATGAGAGAGAAAATTCGATTAGTCGTCTCCTATATGCACCCCAAATGAGGATTTACCCACAACTTGGGCATGTGTCATGATCAGGAATCAAACCTGCAACTTTTGGCGCACAGGTCAATGCTCCAACCAAGTGAGCAACCAGGCCATGGCTCTTTGTTAAACTTTGAATTTACCAACATACTAGTAATTCTAGGGCAAATATCTAATAAATGAGACCACATAAATTTAATGCACAAAATAAAACTTCTTGAAATCTGCCAAGATTGAGGCCATTTATAGAAGTAAAACCATAAACAAAGAAATACAAGTATATATGTAAATACAAATATGTATATTTTAAAAACGGTAGACAGAAAAGTCAAACATACTTTTGCTAAGTGAAATAATTATAATTATAATAACCTATGAGAATGGCTAATCATATATGCAAATTATCATTTGTATAGATACTAGGCATACTAATAACTTAATTCTATTAACACTAAACTGTTCATATATGCTCAGGTTTCTATTGTGGACATAACATTGACAACTTAGAATATCAATAAGCACAAAGAAAGAAAAACACACTCATCAAAAACTAGGGGGCATGGCCCAGCTGGTGTGACTCAGTGGTTGAGTGTGTGAACCAGGAGCTCAAAGTTGGATTCCAGTTAGGGCACATGTCTGGGTTGTGGGCTTGGTCCCCAGTAGAAAGCATGTAGGAGGCAGCCGATCAATGATTCTCTCTCATTAATGATGTTTCTCTCTCTCTCTCTCTCCTTTCCTCTATGAATTCATAAAAATATATTTTAAAAAAATAGGGGGCACAGAATATTTATTAAAGAAGCCTATCTAACTTCTCTGTTCCATCCTGGGCATTTGCATTTTATCCCATCAAAAACCTCACTTCTACCTGCAAGGAGAGAGCTGTACCAGATGCACATTCCACTTGTCAGAAGTCAACTATGCATGTTTGGCCCAGGAAGAAGGGGCTTTAAAAACAATAAAAGAATGTCTGTACTTTAAGAATACAAATTAATTTTAAGATTTAGTCTTTCTGAAACGAAGGTATGGCACCTTGTCTAGTCAATACTTAGCTATGTAGGTATCAGGTTTTAAGGGTCTTTGTTTTTTAAAAGAATTGGGCTAACTTTTATTAATATAATTTACTTTTCACTAAATAAATAATAATTTGATTTCTATTAAAGACAGTTTTAGAGGGGAAAACCTATCTAATATCCTTCCCCGAAATGTCTAAAACTATGTTATTTCTATTTAATACAATTTCCATTACATATACAGATGACGATATGCATGGTGAACAGTTAAATATTGTGCATGGTACTGGTGGGATGATGGCTAAAAAGGATATATTACTATCAGTCTTTTCAAAACCAAACACACAATGGGTCACATTTATAGAATTAGTCACATGTGTAAGATAGTGATGGCTAGGGATTTTTAAAACTCTAGAATTTAACCCATTGGAATTTAATTTCTTATCGACCCTGGACACTGGGCATTGTGGAGAAGCAAAGTGGTCTCCTATTTCACACATGTACCATGGGTCTACAAATCCTCAGAGATAAATATTTAAAGTATCAAGCCTTCAAAGAGATTCCAGCCTAGTCTGCAACAAATATTTATGGCACATTTTATATCTCAACTTTTATAAACACAGACTGAATGTCACACCCTGTAAACACTCTGCAAACATAGTGTCAGGTTTCTATTGTGGAAGCCACAGCAGATGGCTCTCAGGGTCACCTTACCTGCAAGAGCATCCTGGGCTTCAAAGAAAGTACTAAGACCCCCTTTCACACAAGCCAGGCTGCCCTCACTCTTCTTGTTAGCCTGTCTCTTCAGGTTGGTGACTGCCATTTTGAGCTGCTCAAAACTGAAATGAAATAAAGAATCCAAAAGTTTAACACTCCTAACAAGCAAAAAAGAAATAAGATAATGCATTAAGTATAAAATACTACAGCAGGGGCGGGCAAACTTTTTGACTCGAGGACCACAATGGGTTCTTAAACTGGACCGGAGGGCCAGAACAAAAGCATGGATGGAGTGTTTGTGTGAACTAATATAAATTCAAAGTAAACATCATTACATAAAAGGGTACGGTCTTTTTTTTTTTAGTTTTATTCATTTCAAATGGGCCGGATGCGGCCCGCAGGCCGTAGTTTGCCCACGGCTGTACTAAAGCCTACATTAAGATACAGACTAATATGTTACCAGATGAAAACAAAGGCTTTCAAATTCTTACCTAGAGCTAAAAATTTTAATTGTGAATGCCAAAATTACAGCAGCTAGAAAAAATATTAGTAACCCTCAAGTGGTCAATCCAAATATATGACTAGAGGCCTGGTGCATGAAATTCGTGCGGGGGGGGAGGGGGTTCCCCTCAGCCCAGCCTGCACCCTCTCCAATGTGGGACCCCTCGGGGGATGTCTGACTGCCGGTTTAGGCCCGATCCCTGGGATCGGGCCTAAACTGGCAGTGGGACATCCCTCTCACAATCCGGGACCACTGGCTCCTAACTGCTCACCTGCCTGCCTGCCTGATGGGCCCTAACTGCCCCCCCCCCCCCCCCACTAGAAGAGCCCCTAAATGGCCCCCCTAGTGGGCGGGGGGA